CCCTGGATCCCGGGAACCTGGCAGTGGCGGGCTGCACAGGCTCCCCGGAAAGGAGGTGTGGATAGTGACCCGTGCTCGCACACAGGCTTCTTGGTGGTGGCAGCAGCAGCAGCCTTAGTGTCTCATGCTCGTCTCTGGGGTCCGCGCTTTTAGCCGCGGCTCGCGCCCGTCTCTGGAGCTCCTTTGAGCAGCGCTCTTAATCCCCTCTCCTCGTGCACCAGGAAACAAAGAGGGAAGAAAAAGTCTCTTGCCTCTTCAGCAGCTCCAGACCTTTTCCCAGACTCCCTCCTTGCTAGCCGTGGTGCACTAACCCCTTCAGGCTGTGTTCACGCTGCTAACCCCAGTCCTCTCCCTGCACTCTGAAGCCCGAGCCTCAGCTTGCAGCCCTGCCTGCCCCAGCGGGTTAGCAGACAAGCTTCTTGGGCTGGTGAATGCCAGTCGGCATTGATCCCCTGTGCGGGAATCTCCCTGCTTTGCCCTCCGCACCCATTACTGTGCTCTCCTCCGTGGCTCCGAACTCCGTGGCTCCGAAGCTTCCCCACTCCACCACCCGCAGTCTCCTCCCGCGAAGGGGCTTCCTACTGTTTGGAAACCTTTCCTCCTTCACAGCTCCCTCCCACTGGTGCAGGTTCCATCCCTATTCTTTTGTCTCTGTTTTTTCTTTTGCCCTACCCAGGTACGTGGGGGGTTTCTTGCCTTTTGGGAGGTCTGAGGTCTTGTGCCAGCGTTCAGTAGGAGTTGTTCCACGTGTAGATGTATTTCTGGTGTATCTGTGGGGAGGAAGGTGATCTCCGCGTGTTATTCTTCCGCCATCTTCCCACCCTGTGTTTTCTATACCCCAGGCCTCCAATTACAGCAGCAAATGCTCCAGACAAACACCACTTTTGCCATCTGGATTGTTATTATTAAGAAGATGTTCAGTAGAAGACATATTTAGGCTTATTTTGCTAAACAATTTATATAAAAATTTATAAAGTATCTACAAATAGAGCAAGGATGATATTCTTTTTCCATGAAAACAAGTTATATACAAGTTATAAAATTCTATATCATTGCATTTTTTAAGATATTTTCATAATAGTCTGTTTTCTGAAAAAGTTGTATAAGAGTCTAAAAAGCTTTAAGGTATTTACTTTAGAAAAGAATGAGTTATTAACACTCCTTGATTTTACTCTACAAATGATGTGCTTATTTTTCCACATTTCCTTTCCTATTATTTTAATGGTTTAAAAATAAGCATTACACTGTTTGGTATATTTCCTCTTTTCTGCAACTTGTATTTAATTTCAATTACTTTCATATAAATACTTCTAGTTCTTTGAAAGACTAGCTAAATTAAACTAACATTTATACCACTTTAAAAACTCATTCATCACTATAATATTGTGTGATATTATATTACAAATCCTTAGAAACTTAAATTTCCCATCCATTACTGATTCAAGTTGTGCTTAAATAAGGCTACAGACTCAAGAAATTGAAAACATATTCCATTAGGAACCAATTTTACCCTCAATTGTGTTACCCAAACCCAAATGACTTTTCAGAGCCTCCTACAGAAAGTATATGCCTCCTTGCCACAGTGGTATTGGGTTTGATTTATTCAAATTGTCCCAACATCATTTATTCATTCATCATTTTTTTCATTGATTGAAAGTACTGACTTTATATTATAGTCTTCCACTATTTAATAAATTAATAATTACTAAATAATAATTTAATATTTGTTGGGAAAATAAGTGAATGAATCATATACAAAATTCTGACGTATGCTTATGTTTGCAACTGATCTTTTTAGTCTCTTCTATGATTCACTAGCTATTTACTAAATACTTATTTTGACATAAATCCAAAAAAAAGATAAATAAATCTTTCTGTTTTCAGAGAGATTATAATTTAGTTGCTCATTACAACTAATACTCCAAGGAAATGTTACAAATTTATATACATTGCTGAGTTTAATCCATGGCAATTTATTTACGAATAAATAAACAAAATAGCTACTGCCTTGTTGGGAATAGGTATTTGCCTTCTTGGAAAACTTGTACATACTTTGGATACCTTATCATTGGCTGGGTTTAAAGTAAAATAATGATCCTCCTTTGAATGTACTATAACAACACAAATGCCAAGAAAAAGACATAGACAGCCGGAGGTGAGAGTATGAAGATGCAATGTGCTTCTTCACTAAAGAATAAAGTGCAGGGTCAAGTACTGATCTTCTCAGAGTGGAATCCTTACCAGGCATCCAACTAAAGGCTGGGCAGAAGTTAGAGAGGAAATCAATATTTCACTACTATTTATAGAGTGTAAAATTACAGGACACAGAAGGCTCTGACAGAGAGCAAGTGAATGGTGCACAGTGTGTGTGTCTGAAATGTCTAAAAATACTCCACTTGACAAAGTAGTAGAAGAGGTTATTCAGAGTACCCACCTTTGATAACTGTTTTTAACTTGTCTTTCCTCAGATTTGAACACAGAGACAAAATGTTATGTCCTGTGTGGATACTATCTACTGAAAATTATGGGCTTGCCTGGATCCATTTTTTTAAAATAATTTTTAATTATCTGTAATGTCTGTTACCTATAAACTAATTAGAAAAATGCAACTGGTTCAAAGAAAAAGTTGTCCATTATTCAAATAACCAGAAATAATCACAGGTAGTATAATGGGTACATGGATTCATTCAAGTGTGTCACTTCTCAAAACATACTGAGAGTCTTAACTCACTTTACTTATTTCCTAAATGGAATTTCAGACTGTGATTTTAATGGCATTATAATATTTTAATACATGGGGGTGCTATAACTTATTTCAATAATTCCCAACAATTCCATGGGATATTGAGAAGATATCCAGCGTGGTGCTTTTATAAGCCACGCTGTGATGAATGTCCTTGTGGTAACTTTTTAAAGTTTATTGTATTATATTCTTAAGTTCTAATCAAAATGAAATGCTGGGAGTAAAAGTCCTGATATCTAAGGTCAAATTATCATCAGAGAAGTTAAAACAATGTTTTCCCATCTGCACTGGGAATTACCATTGTATTATTAATTTGCATATTTTACTACCTAGGCTGACAATGTGTATGTTGCTGTTCATGCTTTTGTAAATTGTCTGTATCTCTGGAGATAGATTATGTCTTGTTCCCACATATTTGCTCCCCTTCTCTGCATGTGGGTTATACCCTCTCACACCCAATGCTGTATAATTTTTCAGGGCCTCCTGCAGAATGTATACGCATCCCTGCCTCCTTGGCATTGAGATTGGTTTATCCACTGTGCACTGTATATATGTTTAATTTTCTATATATTATGAGGTTTTGACATCTTAAAAAACCTTTCTGGCTGGGAAAAGACTGCCCCTCCTGGGGCTAATATTTTTTTGGAGGTGGGGGAGACTTAAACAATAAACATTGCTCTGGGAAAATTTATTCTGAAATACTGCCCTCTCTACATTGGTGTATATCAGGCAGGATATGTTAGGGCATGCTAATGATTCTAAAATCTGGGCACCTCATAATAAGTATGTATGTATGTATTTAAACTCACACTGCATGTCCTGTACATGTTGTCTACAGGTTTTGCTCCATGTCTTCTCTCTCTGGAATCCAGGCTGATGGAGTAATCATTGTCTGAGAAAAAGGAGAAGGAAAGAGATAAAGGATAAATCACACAGTGGCTCTTACATATTTCACCCAGAAAAAGCACATTATCTCCACTAGCATTTCATGGACCAAAAACAATGCATGTGACCACAACTAACTCTAAGGGGAAATGAAGTACAATCCTGTACAGGACTGGAAGAAACATCTTTAATATTCAGGCAATGTCACAAGTAGTGCTCATTAGAGTTGTTCCACAAATATTTGACTTACTAGTCAGGGGCTAGATGGAGAATGCAGGGATCCTGGTATAGAAAGAGTAATAAAATGCGTGAGAGAAGAGGGAAGAAAGATTCTTAGGAACCTGGAACTCTTTAACCACTCAGTCCTCTGTGACAGCACCTCACCTCTAGCTTAACCACAATTCCCGTAAGTGATTTCCAGAAATGCTCTCAGGACTTATGTGTACTAATTTGTTAGGTTTTGTTTGTTTGCTTTTGTTAAGCTTGTTAGACCCACAGTTTTTCTTCCTTTCAATTACTGAGGAGAAAAAAATCCTTGCATGCGAAACTTTACCTATAAGCAAGAAAGTTTTATTCACTGTCTTGAAAAAGCTAGTTCCTAAATAAAATTTGTTTTCTTTACTAGGTCAGCTAAAGGTTTAAGACATAGTAGTATCAATGTATTATTATCTTGGCAGCCTGTAAGCATGGTGAGAGTGAAGTAATTGACCAGCCATAAATTGAGGATAGAACTATTATTTAATTTCTTCCCATGAACAAAGGATCTTACCATTTCCAATATAAAACTTGAAAATGAGTCCTACTCTCTTTTTTAACACAATACACAGTAAACTAATGAAAAGAAAAAGTCTTTCATCTTGAAAAGATAATCACTTAAGAAATGAAAATGTCAGAGGGGATTAGGGAAGATGGTGGAAGAGTAAGTCACGGAGATCACCTTCCTCCCCACAGATACACCAGATATACATCTACACGTGGAACAACTCCTACACAACACCTACTGAACGCTGACAGAAGACCTCAGACCTCCCAAAAGGCAAGAAACTCCCCACGAACCTGGGTAGGACAAAAGAAAAAAGAATAAATAGAGACAAAAGGATAGGGACCTGCACCAGGGGAGGGAGCCGTGAAGAAGGAAAGGTTTCCACACACTAGAAGCCCCTTCGCGGGCAGAGACTGTGGGTGGCAGAGGAGAGCACAGCAACAGGGCTGCGGAGGGCAAAGCGGAGAGATTCCTGCACAGAGGACTGGTGCCGACTGGCACTCACCAGCCTGAGAGGCTGGTCTGCTCATTCACCTGGGTGGGGGGGGCTGGGAGCTGAGGCTCGGGCTTCGGTCCAGCAGAGGGAGAGGACTGGGGTTGGTGGTACGAACACAGCCTGCAGGGGATTAGTGCACCAAAGCTGGCCGGGAGGGAGTCCGGGAAAGAGTCTGGACCTGCCAAAGAGGCAACAGACTTTTTCTTCCCTCTTCGTTTCCTGGTGCGTGAGGAGAGGGGATTAAGAGCGCTGCTTAAAGGAGCTCCAGAGACGGGCGCGAGCCACAGCTAAAACCGCGGACCCCAGAGACGAGCATGAGACACTAAGGCTGCTGCTGCCGCCACCAAGAAGCCTGTGTGCAAGCACAGGTCACTATCCACACCTCCCTTCCGGGGAGCCTGTGCAGCCCGCCACTGCCAGGGTCCCGTGATCCAGGGACAACTTCCCCGGGAGAACGCATGGCGCACCTCAGGCTGGTGCAATGTCATGCCGGCCTCTGCCACCGCAGGCTCGCCCTGCACCCCGTGCCGCTCCCTACCCCTGGCCTGAGTGAGCCAGAGCCCCCAAATCAGCGGCTCCTTTAACCCTGTCCAGTCTGAGCAAAGAACAGACGCCCTCCAGCAACCTACATGCAGAGGCGGGGCCAAGTACAAAGCTGAGTCCCTGGGAGCTGTGAGAACAAAGAAGAGAAAGGGAAATCTCTCCCAGCAGCCTCAGAAGCAGAGGATTAAAGCTCCACAATCAACTTGATGTACCCTGCATCTGTGGAATACATGACTAGACAACGAATCATCAAATTGAGGAGCCTTGTGGATGAAAGGCTCTTGGTGCTGCAGCCAGGAGTCAGTGCTGTGCCTCTGAGGTGGGAGAGCCAACTTCAGGACACTGGTCCACAAGAGACCTCCCAGCTCCACGTAATATCAAACGGCGAACATGTCCCAGAGATCTCCATCTCAACACCAGAACCCAGCTTCACTCAACAACCAGCAAGCTACAGTGCTGGTCACCCTATGCCAAACAACTAACAAGACAGGAACACAACCCCGCCCATTAGCAGAGAGGCTGCATAAAATCATAGTAAGTACACAGACACCCCAAAACACACCATCAGACATGGACCTGCCCACCAGAGGAACAAGATCCAGCCTCATCCACCAGAACACAGGCCCTAGTCCCCTCCACCAGGAAGCCTACACAACCCACTGAACCAACCATAGCCACTGGGGACAGACACCAAAAACAACAGGAACTACGAACCTGCAGCCTGCAAAGAGGAGACCCCGAACACAGTAAGATAAGCAAAATGAGAAGACAGAAAAACACACATCAGATGAAGGAGCAAGATAAAAACCCACCAGACCTAACAAATGAGGAGGAAATAGGCAGTCTACCTGAAAAAGAATTCAGAATAATGATAGTAAAGATGATCCAAACTCTCGGAAATAGAATAGACAAAATGCAAGAAACATTTAACAAGGACCTAGAAGAACTAAAGATGAAATGAACAATGATGAACAACACAATAAATGAAATTAAAAACACTCTAGATGGGATCAATAGCAGAATAACTGAAGCAGAAGAACGGATAAGTGATCTGGAAGATAAAATAGTGGAAATAACTACTGCAGAGCAGAATGAAGAAAAAAGAATGAAAAGAACTGAGGACAGTCTCAGAGACCTCTGGGACAACATTAAATGCACCAACATTCGAATTATAGGCGTTCCAGAAGAAGAAGAGAAAAAGAAAGGGACTGAGAAAATATTTGAAGAGATTATAGTTGAAAACTTCCCTAATATGGGAAAGGAAATAGTTAATCAAGTGTAGGAAGCACAGAGAGTCCCATACAGGATAAATCCAAGGAGAAATACGCCAAGGCACATATTAATCAAACTGTCAAAAATTAAATACAAAGAAAACATTAAAAGCATCAAGGGAAAAAAAAAACAACAAGGAAAACCCCATAAGGTTAACAGCTGATCTTTCAGCAGAAACTCTGCAAGCCAGAAGGGACTGGCAGGACATATTTAAAGTGATGAAGGAGAAAAACCTGCAACCAAGATTACTCTACCCAGCAAGGATCTCATTCAGATTTGATGGAGAAATTAAAACCTTTACAGACAAGCAAAAGCTGAGACAGTTCAGCACCACCAAACCAGCTTTACAACAAATGCTAAAGGAACTTCTCTAGGCAAGAAACACAAGAGAAGGAAAAGACCTATAATAACGAACCCAAAACAATTAAGAAAATGGGAATAGGAACATACATATCGATAATTACCTTAAATGTAAATGGACTAAATGCTCCCACCAAAAGACACAGATTGGCTGAATGGATACAAAAACAAGACCCTTATATATGCTGTCTACAAGAGACCCACTTCAGACCTAGAGACACATACAGACTGAAAGTAAGGGGATGGAAAAAGATATTCCATGCAAATGGAAACCAAAAGAAAGCTGGAGTAGCAATTGTCATATCAGACAAAATAGACTTTAAAATAAGGACTATTAGAAGAGAC